TTCAACAACAAATAGAAAGCAAGGCTCAAAGTGCAGATTATTAGGCAACAATGCGATGCACCACGCATTTCTTTAAAGGACGAATTCACGATGAAAAAGCAACCCATTTCAAATTAACCTAGGGATGGTGAGTGGTACACGAAAGAAGGAAGAACCATGAGAAACGGCCCAGAACCCGAGAAATGGACCCCTTCCTTGCCCGTTGATTTGAGCATTGATGCGACTCTCATCGCTGTGCCCTCTTCAACACTACGCTCTCTCAGCTATCTAATCACTCGCCACGTATTGAACTACGGCGAGTGATCAGATGATCGGTGGGCGGAGATCGCCGGACCCGCCAGCTTTGAGGCATGATAGGTCGCCGAGGTCAAATTTTTCCATGCGAATTGCGCGTCAGTTCGCACCCTCAGGAGGTCCGTGGGTCCCTCAACTAGGTCAATTCCCTTTCTTCGACCTTCATTCTAATCGTGAATTCCTCCTTTAAAGGAAGCAGTTACGATGAGAGGGACCGCAGCGGGAAGCAAGATGCTTTCACAACGAAGGTGCGCTGGTTGCTGAGCAGGACTTCGAAAGCGCTCCCCCCCAAAAGCGATCCGCCCACTAGTTTAGTTGGTGATTTGGACGAGCTGCGTTGCCAGCAGCGGCACAACTGGAGCAACTCGATTGGAGCGTGGTTTGGCATGGTGCCACCAAACGCGTTGCGTGAACTCGTTCATACGTCCGCTTTCTGAGCTGTTACCTGTTCATGAGTGAAAACCAACGGCCAAAAAAGGGGTCCCGTTTTGCGTTTTCTTGACGGATTTCTCTGCTTTTTTCGCCACTGGCGTACCATTGAGCACCACCACGTCACACCAAAACCAAATTCTCAATTCTTCAAACTTATCGTAATTGCTGCCTTCAACCGAAAAGTGTGTGAATTTGTGAATTTGAACATGTGAATTCCTTCACGTTACGATTTGCGCGTTGTGCCGAGTTAAATCAGTACTCTCACTGAGGCAGATATCGATGGCAAAATGAAGAAATGCCAAGCAAAAGTATGAAGCGAGGGTGTAGCTAGAGGTTGTCGCTTATATGGTTCACCGCTTAGGCGTCAAAGGTAGAAGCAGGCTTTGTCAGGTTTATTAGAAAAGTAAGCAAGTCCAAAAAACGAAGCTGATAGCTTTCTTGTGCACAATTCTCCCCGAGCTCGTAGAAGACCACGTTACTTGGGGCTGGGACCGTAATCTCGCCAATCTGCAAATCACCATTCTGACGGTAACAAAGTGATTAGTTTTTCTGAACAATCTGAATACTTTTACATCAGCAACAAAGGCATATAAGAAAGTTTATCTCATGGTTTTTGATAAGACCTAGAATCAAATAATGAGAAACCCTGGTACCTCGAGGTCGTCCTCTTGGATAAAGCCACGGCTTTTCGTATCCACCATCGCGTCCACTATACGGTCCATGCGAGTGTGGTCCTATTCTATCGAAATCTCCTGGGCCGTATGGGCCGTACTCACCACGTGGCCCGTAAACGTGTGGAACTCTGTCTACAATTGTTGGAGGAAATCTTGACATGAACTGCTCCACCGCGAAACGTATCACCCGGAAAAGCTAGAATATTAATGCTTTCTCTTGGTCAGTTTCGCACCTTGCAAAATCCCTTGAGTACATAGAGGCAGATCACAAAAGCCCGAATTGAGCGATGCTTTTTTTTGAAAACCGCCAGTAAGAGCTGAAGTGTGAAAAAAGCCCGCATATTGTACCCTCCCCTTCAAAAAACGAGAAAGTGTCGGGTGCACACCATACACCACAACTGACGACGGCCGCGAGAAAGCGGCAGTTGACAACCGACAAGGAAATTAATTGGTTGCAGTTGTATTCTATTAGCTCTGTCTAATTCTACTTCGCTCGTCATCATTTTATTCAGGTGAGTTATTTGTAACAACAGTAAACATGCTTTTCAGGCGTTGTCAATGATTTCACTGCTACCATCGAATGCTGTCGTGGTGAGTTTCGCAAATTTTATATATTATTCGAGTTCTGTTGTTACAAATAACTCACCTGAATAAAATGATGACGAGCGAAGTAGAATTAGACAGATAGCTAATAGAATACAACTGCAACCAATTAATTTTCGCGGCTGTCGTCAGTTGTGGTGTACGGTGTGAACTCAATACTTTTTCGCTTTTTGAAGGGGAGGGTCTGTGGTTTGGGTACTGAAAACCAGCGAGATTAATCTCAGTGAAATGACCTCTGGGTCGTCAGCTTCTATTTCACGCAATGCAGTGGATTGTTCCTCGTGAGTTTGGCTAACGTCCTCCACTATTGAGCCGAACCTTTCCAGAGCATGTGGTAATAATATGGCAAGTTTGGTGACATTCCACTTAATTTGCTCTCGACGCCGGTCCATAGCTTCAAAAACTTCTCTAGCTTCTTTCTGAAATATCACAAATTGTCCCCAGATTTTCACCCTACAGTTTCACTCCTGGTGACTTCGGTTTTTCAATTTTACTCACTGTAACATTGTGTGTCTCAGCCCATTCCATTATACGATCCCTCTCTTCAGCGATGGTCCAAAATTTTTCGCGGATTATTCCGGAATATCCCTCTTGATCAGTCCAATAGGCGCCGCCAATAGATCTTGGCGTATATATAGCAAAACGTAGACGATTTCCAAATTCGTGAGGTTCGTAAGCAGCTGTCGTAGCGATCGCAAAAAGGACAAGGGCAATCTTCATCTGCAAATCTTCTCAGTTAAGTGTCGAAATAATTGAGACATGAAAAGTCA